CCGTTTTCAGTAGAAAGCCATTTGAAAGAAAGCAATCAATCCAGCGACGCAAAAGCAAGGGACACATGGTTACTGAGGAGCCCGGAAATTGCTTGTGTGCTTTTCCCCAGCGTTCAGGGTATAGGGTTGTTTTGTGTAGTTACCCATACCCAAATCTTATGATCACATTTTCACCGCTATCTCAAACCTTATGCGCACCTCAAAGCCCTACACTCTAAATCCTCAACCCTGTATACCGTAAGTCCTTGCACCCCCTGCATGCTACATAAGCCTGAGGTCAGGACCATCTACCGGTAGTATTGCCACTGCAAGCTCAATCTTGGGGTCCAGATGGACCGAGTACATACCCTTTACATACCCCTCAGCGCCCCGTAAATCCTCCTAGAAAGCTGAGGGGCCCCTATTAGGGGGGCCCTTACTTCCATCGATAGACTACCTCTGAATATTCTCTTGACATGGGAACTCGCTGCATTGGGTGTGCTATATATATATATATGTATACATAGAAATATAGCTTGGATGACTGCAGGGCTAATTGCTAGGAATCCCTGGCAGGATCTAAAAGTCTGATTCCTTGTGCAAGCCCAAAAAGCCTTTTGCGATTCCCTATATTGTTATAGGGGATCTCATAGCAAAATCTCTTTAGCAGTTCATACTTCGAACCTTGAACCCTTCAACCTGTCGTGGTTTCCACCCTCGCTCTGCCACGCGTTCATTCCCTGCTAAAGAGTTCCAGCCCTGGATCAGAGCGAGGACCCTAAACCCTAAACTCTAAACAAAAGTTCCACTCCAAGTAAGCCTAAAGAAGCTCACTGCAGGGGATCAAATCTACAATGGTTTGGGGTATAGGGTTTGGGGTTTAGGGCTTGGGGTGTCTGACCCTTGACCCCAAAACCTTAAGTCTAAAGCCGAAACCCTAAACCCAAAACTCTAAACCCAAGACCCCATAACCCTAAAACCCTAAAGCCTAAACCCTAAACAAAACCCTAAACCCTGAAACCCTAAGTCCCAAACCCTAGATCCTAAACCCTAAATCCTAAAGCCCTAAAACCCCGAAGCCTGGGTTGGGAGGATGTTTTTCGGCGGCTTTCCGGGCGGCGGCTTGGGCGGCAAGGGCAGCTCAGGCATCAGCTCCAAGACGCTTTGCCTAAACCCTGAGGGGTTTAGGGCTTAGGGTTTAGGGTTTACTGTAGGGATTAGGGTTTAGGGATTAGGGTTTAAGGATTAGGATTTAGGGATTAGGGTTTAGGGTTTAGGGTTTAGGGCTTGGGGTTCAGGGCTTAGGGATTAGGATTAAGGTTTAGGGATTAGGGTTTAGGGTTTAGGGATTAGGGTTTAGAGCCTAGGGGTAAGGGTTTAGAGCTGGGGGTTTAGGCCACAGGGTTTAGGAGTTTAGGGCTTAGCATTTAGTGTTTAGGGTTTAGGCTTGGGGTTTAGTATTTGGGGTCCAGGGCGTTGGGGTTTAGGCTTTCGGGTTCAAGACGCTGGCGCATGGACCAGCATTGACAAAATGGAGTATTATGTTTACTAGGGCTCAATAAGGAATATCTATGTTACTTTGAGAATGCCTAACCCCTGGGCCCTAAATCCTAAACCCTAGTGCAAAGCCAGTGCCATGCGTCTAGCCCTGGAGTCCTCAAGTTTGGATACTGCCCCCACTCAGCAACTCAGTAACAGTGAGAGAAGGTGTACTACCATACTATCAGAAGTCTAGCTAGATAGTGTCACTCAGCAGTATGAGGGCTGAAGGACACATCTACAAAGGGAAATAGTTCCCATTGCCGCTCGTAAATACTTGGGCTACGGCTAGGTTACTATAGTGCCCAGGACGAAGGTTCTCCGTTTCCATAGCCCCAGTAAGTCCCCAGGCAGAACCCTCACTACGCATTCTCTGGATTTGGCTGAAGTCGTTGATTCAGCAACCCTAAACACTGAATCCAAGGACGGTAGATACGACCAAGTTCTACAAGGTCCTGGAGATTGAGCGGAATGCCACGGAATTAGAGATTAAGAAGCCTGGCAGGTTAAGGGTTAAGAGTGTAGGGTTTCGGACCGGAAGTGTTGGACCTGGGTCCCTTTATGTGCCTTCTTCTCTTCTCCAGCATTCTGACCTGGCCGCTGGTTGGGGCCTGATTTAAATTTGCTGGTGGGCAGTAGGGCATGGGGGGATGATTCCCGAAAGTTGTCCCTTATAATTCTCATTCTAGCCCCTTTGAAGCCTTAGTTCTCACCAGCAACCTTTAGTTCTAAACCCTTAACCAGATTCTTCTTTCTATTGTCTCTTCCATTCACAGGTTCTGTTAACCGTCACGATAGTTGTCATCTCCTTTTCCATTTTCACAACCCTTATCCCTTTAAACACCCTACATCTCCCCTGTTTCCGTTTCATGTCCCATTCTCCATGTGAGTCTCTTGTATTGCACAACTTAAACATACGCTTCAAAAGGAACCAGGCCTACCTATGCACCTAATCATGTAGGTGTATCTAAGGTTTAGGGATTTAGGGTTTGGGGTTTAGGTATGGGTGCGTATAGACAGTAAATTGCTGTCTTAGGAAGGTAGGAGCACCAAAATGCAAGCCCCACAGTAGGAGCCAATACGCCCAAACTTTTTTTCCAACAAGGCCCTAGGCCAAGCCCCTGATTTTTCAAGCCTGAGTGATTCGTCAATGCTTTCAGTCAAATATACCTTGCTAACTTTTGTGGTTATTTAGGCCCCTACATTACGCTGGTCAGCCAGGAAAGCCTACAGGAGGCTAGCCGTGAAGCACCACCCAGACAAGGGTGGCGACCCGGATGCTTGGTCGCGTCATGAGGGCTCAGAGTAGCACCCCTTTTGCACAGGAAGGGTTTAGGTTGTTTAGGGCTTAGGATTTAGGGTTTAGAGCTTCAGAGATTCTACGAGTGTGGGGTTCATGGTTTTAGGGTGTCCTCTTAGTAGGTACAGGATTTAGGTGGTAAGAAGACTTTGAGAAGCCGAACTCGCACAGTTCGAAACATATTATAGCCAAACTACAGCCGTCTGTGAGGTTGCCCACAGTCCTCTGATTAGACCGGGCCCCGGTAAGAGACCACCTCGGGGTAAATGAGGCAGCTTTTGATATCTACATCAGCGGGCCTAAAGTTTTGAGCTACCGGGCCTTCTAGC